CCTGGCCGGCTGGCCCAGATTGGCCCCCAATCTCCGGCCAGGTGGAGGGACCCCACCCATGCATGAATTTGTGCACCAGACCTTTAATTTAATAATAATATAAGATGACTAAAATATTTGTAATCCCCACCAAAACTGGGAAGTACTGTATAGTAGCAATGAGTAAAAACTCACACACTGAGAAACTCATATTTGAACTTCTTAGAAAAATGATGTCAAGTCACTAGGAACCACATTTTCTGCAAAGTATTCATAAGAAAATAATGACAGTTACCCTATATAATAAAGAGCTGATATGCAAATAGTTGTCACACCCTCACACAGTAACAGCTCAGACACTCAACACTAGAAAGAGAGGAATGGATCCCCAGTAAGGGGCACAAATGAGCTCATGAGAGAGGAATGGGGACCAGCCAGGCTGTGGCCCTGGAGAGGGACAAGCCACCTGCCCCACGGTCCCGGGTGCCAGTGGCTGGGACTGCAGTCCGGGAGAGGGACAAGCCGCCTGACCCTTGGTCCTAGGCACTTGTAGCTGCAGCCTGGGAGAAGCTTCCGGCCCAGGCAAAGCTGGCCCGGGGTTCTGGGTGCCTGGCGCCAGCCAGAGGGAGGGAAGCCCGGATCCTGTGTGCCTGTGACTGTCCAGAGGAGGGAATCCTGGTTCTCAGGATGAGGCAGAGGGGTTAGGGGCAATCAAGCAGTCAGGCAGGCAAGCAGTTAGGAGCCAGGAGTCCTGGATTAGGAGAGGCAGTCAGACATCCCCCAGGGGATACTGGTTTGGAGAGGGTGCAGGCCAGGTCCAGTTTTAATTACAATCTGTGTGCACCTAGTTCTTCTTACAGCAAGAGGCAGCAGGTTTATTTTGGATATCTGCCTCCCAGGTAGAGAAACAAAGCAAGGGATTTCTGCACCTGCCTACGATCTATGCCAGCTCTCAGCACACTTTCTGCCCTGGCCTTGGGGATTAGGATTGCAGCCCGGCTGTCTCCTACTTGTTTTCTTATGGCAGCCACAGTACCAGTAATCTTTCCAAAATGCAACCTGAGCAAATCAACCTCCTACCCACTGCACTGAGCATGAAAGAAAAACCTCTATGGTTGGCACGTAGAGCCCTTCACCAGCAGTTTCCGGTTGACCTTTCCTGTTCCACTTTCTCTCTTTTTTTTCTTTCTTCTTTTATCACTACCTCTCATAATTTCATCCTCCCCTTGTTTGTGTTCTTTTTGGGTGACTGGCTCTCCCTTCACTTCCCTTTACCTAGTTTAGCTGACCCTTCCTCCTCCGTCTCCACTATCACCCTCTCCTCGCCTGCACCACCTTCCCCCAGCTCTGCATGAGTTGTTTTCTTTCAAAGGATACGCACTCAGTTCTCATCTTAGTTGAGATTTATTTTACATCCTGGCCAGTGTTGCTCAGTGGTTGAGTGTGGACCCATGAACCCAGGAGGTCACAGTTAGATTCCGGGTCAGGGCACATGCCCAGCATTCAGGTTCAATCCCTAGTGGGGGACATGCAGGAGGCAGCCTATCAATGATTCTCTCTTATCATTGATGCTGCTATCTCTCTCCCTTCCTATCTGAAATCAATAAAAATACATAATTTTAAAAAGGAACATATTTAAGTCCTGGCTGGTTTGGCTCAGTGGATAGCCCATCAGCCTGCGGACTAAAGGGTCCTGGGTTTGATTCCGGGTTGTGGGCACGATCTCCAGTAAGGGGCATGCAGGAGGCAGCCGATCAATGATTCTCTCATCATTGATGTTTCTATTTTTCTCTCCTCCCTTCCTCTCTGAAATCAATGAAAAAATATTTTTTAAAAATGGAAATGTTTTTAAAATTTTAATTTTACATTGTGAAGATATTGATGCCCTTTGAAATACACATGTAGTCTATTTGGAGTAGCATAATTTAAACTGCTTGTTTAAAATGCTTGGGTCTTGTAGAGCTCAGGACTTCCAGCTGGCAAAGCAAAAAGCTGTTTGTGTTTCAATGCCGGCCTATTTTCCACCAGTCTCAGTCTTAACGTGTGTTCTTTCCCCTTCTACAGGTGCTCTGAGAATACAGCCCATTAGCTTCTGAGAGTCCCAGGGGATTCACTTGTTTGTCTTTTAATTTTTTTAAATAAAATTTATTGGAGTGACAATGGTTAATTGAATTATGTAAGTTTCAAGTATACAATTCTATAATACATCATGTGTATATTGCATTGAGTGTTTACCACCTGAAGTCAAAAGTTTAAGTAAAATCATGGCTGACTTTTGTCAGATAAGATCCCAGAAGTTCTCACATAAAGAGGCAGCTTAAAAAGTATTATTATTGTATTAAAAAAGAAAATAATAATTTCCCCCCAATTCTGTTTTAAAAAAGGTCACTGATGTCAGAAACCTGCATCACCTTAGCAAAAACATAATCAGAAACATATGTGTTAGGTTATCAAGATTAAGAAAGTGTTAGAACTGCATTTAGTAAGCTAAAAATATAATTTAAGAATTCCTATAATGAAGAAGATAGAGGAACTGTAGCTAAAAAGTAAAATATCTGCATCTCTATTGCATAATTACCTTTGTTTATGTCATAGTTAAAAAAAAATAGACACAGTATAATCATGATTTAAAATAGACAGCTTACTAATCATTGACATAATGTTATCTGGAGAAAAGGCAGTAAGCCAACGTAAAAACTCACTGGAATGACTATCCTGCTTTTTTAAAAATTTATTATGAAAACATTAATTTTTATTTTAGTTTTTAAATAACTTACCACCTTTCTGGAAATTAACCAGTAGAAGTGTGCGTTGGAATTGTTTATTTACTGGCTTGTGTCCACAAGGCACCAGAACCTCAGGAAAGCACAAGCTCTGTCTTTGTCATTGACACGGCCCCTCGCCTGGCCCTCAGTCTAAAGAATACCCATTTAAATGGAATGAACTACTCTATGAATCAAAGCTATTATACATCATCTACAACAAAAATTTTGCAAAATTATATCCAAAAGCAGGAAAATAAAATTATCAAGCCTCCACTGTCAGCATCATTTACTAAGTTGACTGCAGTTGGGAGGTATTAGGAGATATTATGGGATGGAAAAAGGAACACAACAAAAGAAAATATTTTTAAATAGGAGAGATAAAAACTTACATAATCTATATTACTATACTTATAATTTTGTAGTTGCATAAGAAAATATTAAAATATTTGTTATGATTAGAATAGAGCTCAATCTCTATTAGAAACCTTAGGAAGTTGCACAGGCCTGGGTGGTGTAGCTCAAGTTGGTTGGAGACCAAAAGGTTGCAGGTTCAATTCCCAGTCAGAGCACATACTTAGGTTGAGGGTTTGACCCCAAGTTGGGGCGGGTACAGGAAGCCACCAATTGATGTTTCTCTCTCTCTCTAAGGTCAAACAGACATCCATCTGTTGGAGGTGACTCCTTTCCCACCTCGCTCAGGGGTGACCTCCAAAGCTTTCATCCAGAATGACCCCAGATTTCAACAAGGATGCCTTAATTATTTAGTTGTTCAGGTAAATCAAATCAACATCATCCTGAGAGATCAGAAGGTGGGAGAAGAATTATATTTGGCAAACAATTCATGGGAAATTAAGTCAAGTAGCCAATAGTTTAATTTAAAAATGCAAATATGTATTGATTAGGTTGTCAATAAAACACTGTTCATGTGGACAATGAAGAAACTATAAGGAACAAAGCAACAGTGACAACATTTTTTTTTTTAATTTAAGGAGTAAAATAAAAAAGAAAAGAACATAGAGGATAAGGGGGCTATTTTTATAATAATTTACATTATATTATATTTGAGTAAGTTGACTTTCTTCATCCAAATATTTAATTTCATCCACTTTAAATCATTAAGCCAGCAATTTTCAACCATCTGCATCAAGAATTTTTAAAACATGAAATACCTGATTAATTTAGTCAGGGGCCCTGACCTCTTTTCCCTTAGGTTGTCAAATAAATAAATAAATGACAACAGCCAATACAACAATAGCCATCGGGCATGAATGAATCAAAATTATACCTATTTTTTGTTAGATCGGCAAAAATATGTATTTTTTTGATGTGCTGCAGAATTTAAAAATTAGTTTATGTGTGCCATGAGACGAAAAAGGTTGAAAATCACTGCATTAAGCTATTGGAAAATACCCATCTGGCATTTAATGTAATCTTTCTGCATCTCTTTCAGGGAAGAAGGTGACACGAGGCAAAGAAAACAGCTTGATGCTTTTCTTGGTTTGTTCATAGAAGGGACCATAGCACCTTAACCAGAGGCTGTTGGCTTTCCCTTCTTTCTTTGGGGCTATTTGCCAAAGCCCCTAGCATTTTCTGGTGAAGAGCAAGAACCCGGAGGAGGCTGGATTCATACCACTTTGTTAGCTGGTAACTTTGGGCACCACAATACCTATGCCCAGCTCTTTGGTTTTATGTATATGTTACACGGTTGTTGTGAAGCTGAGACAGCCTGTGTAGGAAAAGCCCTTTAGCAGCTGTAAAAAACACTCCCCACATGTTAGTTATTATCCCCTCCAAAGATTCTGTTTCAATTGTACAGCAAATGGCAAAAAAAAAAAAAAAAAAAAGGCGGGGTCTCCTTGACACTTTCAGTGAGACGTGACCCTGAGCTTCATCTCGCTGTAAAGCAGAAAGGTTTCTGTGCTCCATACCAGCCTGGGGCAGGGTCACCTACGCTGCGGGTGCTGTCACTACGGTTCTCCATCCAGAGCCACACACACACACACACACACACACACACACACACACACACCCGCTTTCCCCCTCCATCCTCCCACGGGTCTCCCCGGGAGGGCGGCGGTGCTCCTCGCCATTTGGTTGGCGCCAGCGAGAGGGCGTGGGCCGGGCGGAGCGGGCGGTGCAGCTCCGGGGGAGGAGGGAGGAGGGAGGAGGCAGGAGGGAGGAGGGCGGAGCGGGGGCGGGGCCTCCGGGGAGGGCGTGGCCTCGCTCGGAGCGTTCGTTCCGGTGCCACCGGCGCTCGGAGTTTGCGAACCCTGAACCCCGAGTGCTGGAGCGCGCGACCCCTGAGCGCTCGGACCCCGTCGCCGGTGCATCGCAAGCACAGCTGCACCCTAGTCCCCGCGGCTCGGGAGCCGCAGTCCCGTGCGAGACGCCGCTGACCCCGAGAGGGCGAGCTGCTGGCTCCGCGCTCTTCACACTCACACCCCTTCCCCCCCCCCCCCCCCCGCCCCCCGCAACAGGTCCGGGGCGGGCGCAGGCGGCGAGGGCGCACCCCCCGGAGACTGGAGAACGAAAGGTCTGCAAGGTGAGCGGAGCGCTGCGGGGGAGGGGGGCACCTCCCAGCCCCGGATTGGGTATGAGCCTGGCCCCGAACCGCCGCCACGGACTTCTGGGAAGCCCGGGCTCTCCCCCGCCGGGCCCCGGCTTCCCAGCACGCTGACTAAGCCGCCGGCCTCCCCGCTTTTCCGGTGGGAACCTCCGGGGGCGCGGAGCGTGCGCCGCCCTGACCTGCAAAGGAGCGGCAGGTACCGCCTGGAGAAACCCGAGCGGGGGGGCCGCAGCTAGAGACCCATCCTTCTCCCCTAGACACCCTCCTTCTCCCCCCCCCCACTCCCCCCACCCCAAGCTCGGCATCCGCCGGCGCGCCCCGCGTCTAACGGAAAGATGTGCGGTCGTTTGAACCCAGTCCCAGGGCTTGCGTAAGAGAAGAGTCCCAGAAGTTTCTCGGGGCGTCAAAGCGGAGCTTTTCTCTCCCCCTATCCTATGCGCACCCCCCCCCCTTCCCGGCATGGTCACCCCTCCCCCTGGCGCCTGAGAGAGATGAGCGTTCCGGTCTCCGCTGGTGGAGGTGCAGAGGGGGGCGGTGGTCCGCAGCCCCCCCGGGAGGGAGGGGACCAGTCGGAGGCATCTGTGCGCCCGGCCCCGGGGGCTGGTTAGTGTCTCCCGCTGGTCCTCCATCCGCTGGGACCATCACCTGCGACTTGGGGCGCGCTAGGGGGGGCGCATGAAAAGGGGGAGGAATTGGAGGGAGGTCTGAATCGTATCTTTCCCTTATAGTAAAGTCCGTTCAAGAAGCTGCAAGGGGCGTTTGAGGGGCTTGGGGTACTTTCCTAGTCGGTGGGTCTTCTATATAGGAGTTTCCACACCCCATATTGTTATGCAAATTGTCCCTGCAAGATCCTGGGCTTTGAGGTGGAGGGGGGGGGGGGGGGGATGGGGGGACTGTAGGGATGGCCTTGCAGAGCAATGTTTTGGTTTGCGTTTTGAGGGTGGAATGGGTGATTTTTAACCCTGTTGGCACCCGTTGGAGGCGGGAGGCGGAGGATATGATATACCATCTAGGAACCAGACGGATTTTCAACCTTCTAAGGAAGCGAAACCGTAAATTAAGGCGAAGACCTAGTCTGTGTGCCCTGGGACGGCTGCAGAGGGAGAGGGACGCGATAATTGAGGCTTAGAAACGTCCCGCGAGGGAGATGCCAGAGTGGTGGTGGTGGTGGGTTTGGCTTGTGCCAGGTTATTTCAGAGCAAGGTCCTGCAGCGCTGGTAGGCGGCGGTTGGTTTCTCTCCCTAGACTCCCTTGGTGTCAGACTCTGAGTGCGGAGAGAAAACACGAAAAAGAAAAAAGACCTTTGGACCCGAGAGTCTGAGTAGTTCTGCTAAGAGGCTTGCGACTAACCCAGGCATGGCCCTGCTTCAGTGTTGACTTCCTCTGTCTAATGCGTTTCCTTAGCTCGCCTTTTGTCGACAGTGGAAAGGATTCCTTGAGTGGATATTCTGGAAATAAATTCACAGGAGAGTTGAAAATTCTGGATGGTTTGCCTGCTTTAATGTAAAGGTGCCTCTTGCCAGAGTCGGAGAGTATTGTATTTGAAAATAAATATGTGGAAAAGGAATGGGGAGAGAACTGAGGAATAAATGACCCAAGAAAATGAAGGGAGACTAGGAGAGAAAGCAAGAAAATAGATAAATTAGTACTTGAAACTACTTGCATTCAACTAATTTAGGAGAGAGGGAGGGAAGGAGAGGATTTGGGACAGATTCAGTCGCTTTAAGACAAAAAGGTATTGGAGAGTGGAAGACGAGGCTTTGACAAAAGATAGTGGGGACTCCTCCGCTCCCACCTATCTTTTCTTTTCTATTGAATAAATATGACTTGAAAGCTTGATGAGGCTGGGGATGTGAGACTTGCAGGTATATTACTGTGAACTCTTTTGCTTCCCACTTGCTGGAAGAAAGTGAGCTGTTACGTATCAGGGTTAATATGTGTTATTCACTCACGGCAGCAATTGAATTTCTGTAGCATCCTGGGCATTTGTCTTTCCTTACGTCTTCAAATTTGTACAAATACAATTTCATAAAATCATAATGTGCTTAACTTAGAATTCAAAAACCATCCAGAGATCGTGAATTTATGGCAAGAGGAAAGCCCAGCAGATTTTAAACATCGCTTTCTCCTGCCAGCTGCAAAATACGAGGTTTTTTTTTGTTTTGTTTTGTTTTGTTTTGTTTTTGCCACCAGAAGTCACTGTTTCACTAGGGTCACAAGACAGTAGTTAAGTAGACTAGCTACATCAAACTGGCTGCTTCTAGAATTTCCTATCTGGCTTAACTGAATTTTGTAATGAGTTGGTTGAACTAAAAGTTACTTTTTTAAAATTTTTATTGAGCTCTAATGTATATTGCCTTGGGAGTTGAAAAGCTGGGTAAAAACTTATTTTTTATATGTTTTACTAAGTGAAAGAAGTTTCGTCTTCAACTCTGTAATTTGTGCTCTTTCATAAAAATTTTTTTTTGCATAGTCCTTTCTGAAGTTAGTTGACTGTTCCAAATCTTGAGATGGATTTATGCTTTCACTTTTTAAAAGGTAAAGCTAATTTACATATAAATATTTTGGATCATACACAGGGAACGGTTATATCCTGCAGACATCCCGTAAGGTATGGCAACATAACAAGGCTATTCGTCTGACTGTAAAAGCCCTACACTGAAAATGGGCCTTCATCTTGAATCTATTTGCCATCTTATCTTAGATATGTCTGTTAAAGCTAAAAGCTTAAAGTTCCCCTATTTCAAGACTAGACCGTTAACTAATTTTTCAGGAGATTGAGAAAGTATGTTGGAGACGGTACAAATTAAGGAACTCCATTTACCAGAACTATACAAAGCTTTGTAAATAATTGCAAAATAAATTGTATGTCCTTTATTAAATTATAAATTCAACCATGGTTTCTATTCCCAAATGATATACTTGGCAGGGGTTTGTTGTTGTTTGTTAGCATTCTTTCTATTATATACTGTGTTAGCTTATTTAATATTTGCTGAATTGTTAAAACTCTACCACCGGGCAGAAACACGTGTGCTCTATGTTGTTCTTTGTAGGTACATATCCTTTATTCCTGACCATTTACTAGTATATGTGAAGGACAGTTTGTTACACAGACTGAAGCCATGCAGCCCGAGGCCATCAGGGCTGCTAATTGTAGTTGCTGTCTTATCCTCAGGACAGAACTCCTTCACTCGTCTTCTCCAGGGGAAGGACATCAGCTGATTTTCTTAAATTATCTGGCCCATTTTAACCATGACGAAGGATTTCTTGTTAGAGCGACTTTTTCCTACTAAAAGACTGAGATGATTGTGAAAAGTGGAGCCCAGAGGAATCAATGATATCATTAGTATAATACCTCATAGTTATTGCGGATACCTCATAAGTACTGAGCATCTTCGATGTGCCAGACAGTACTCCAAGCAGGTGGGATGTATGTTCCTGTAGCACAAAAGCTGTTTACCAGCTCTCACAAGACGTATCTCTTAAGTCTAATTGTGACTCTGGAGTTGGAGTTCATTTTCCATGTGAGAATCAGGAAATGGAGTTGAAGAAGAGACTTGACCATGACTCAAAGCCTGCTGCCCTTTCTGCTGTGGCACACTGTGCTGGCTGTGTTGATATGTGGTTTCCTGTTTTCCAGGAATTACAGCTTGACTCTAAATAAAATATAAATAGTGTTTCTCCTTGGCTAAGTAATTCTTTCTGATCATTATGGGAATGAGAAAGGAGGTATTTTCATTTAGCATTCTGGACATATGTTTGTGACTCCAAAGGAAAATATTATGCAGACCTATTAAACAGACATGTGGTGTTTATTTGCACCAGATGAAGATCTTTACCTTCCTAAAAATGAAATGCAAGGGCTTATGAACTGTGCTTGAAATTTGTTATTCAAGTTACGAAAAGTCAGTTCGCAGTCCGGGATAGAACCATACCATTCCATTTCCTTCATTCTTGTAGATTCAGTGAACATATGGAGAAGGTAAGCATCTGGAAGGCTTGTTAAAACACAGGTGTCCTGCTCCTCTCCCCCAGGTTTCTGATTCAGGAATTTGCATTTGTAACATGTCCGCAGGTGATGTTGATGCTGCCAGGTCTGGAACTACATTTTGAGGACTGCTGAAGTATAGCAGAGAATGTGAAAGTATGCTTTCTGAACCTGACAGATTGGGCTTGAATCTTGGCTAGCACACCCTCTAGCTGTTAGACCATAGGAAAACTGCTTAACTTCTTGTCAATTGTGAAGGCTCTGAAACTTTACCCTTTTTTCAAGCTAACAAACCTGCCACAGTCTCATGCACTCCTGGGAATGACTTTATCTAAATACTAGAGGCCCAGTGCATGAAATTCATGCATAGGGTTGGGGGTGGGGAGAGTCCTCTCAGCCCAAACTGCACCCTCTCCAATCCAGGACCCCTCGGGGGATGTCCGACTGCCCTCAGGGATCGGACCTAAACCGGCAGCCGGACATCCCTCTCACAATCCAGGACCAATGGGTCCCAACTGATCACATGTCTGATTGCCCCTAACTGCCCCTCCTGCTGGCCTGGTCACCCCTGAATGCCCCTCTGCTGGCCTGGTCGCCCCCAACTACCCCCCGCCCCTCCCTGCCAGCTTGGCCTCCCCTAACTACCTCCCCAGCTGGCCTGGTCACCTCTTACTGCACCCCCACCAGCCTCGTCCCCCCTCGCAGCCTGCTGCTCAGTCGTTTGGTTGGCCCTCACTAATACCCCTGCTGGCCTGGTTGCCCCATGCAGCCTATTTGGTCATCTGTTTGGTTGTTTCAGTTGCAACAGTTGCTTAGGCTTTTATATCTATCTATCTATCTATCTATCTATCTATCTATCTATCATCTATATCTATCTATCTATCTATCTATCTATCTATCTATCTATCTATCATCTATCTATCATGGAATGAAGGGAGGCTCAGGCAGCAGCCAGCACCTGGGGAAGTGAGGCCCCCGCTGGCAGCCA